TGAATGAAGACTCTTAAGGGTCTTCTCCACAAATATTGGTAAACATAACTTATCCTAACCATTCTTTTATAATCTAGTGAGTTTTGCATTATCATATTCATTTCATAATTAAAATTTTAGGCTAGAAGCTATGAGGTCTGTTTGCATTTGTTGTATGTTCACGTGTGTCTGTATATATATGTGTGTATGTTGTAGCTGTGTGGCATTTTCTACCTTTGGATGGTATTGCTAAGATTAATTTGTAAAAGAGCTCTATTTAATTGGCATTAAAAAAATTAAGTGCTAATATAATTGAATTCTCAGAAATAAAATAGAAACTTATGAATTTCAGGTTCATGTGATCTAAGAAAATACTCAGCATTAAAGTTAATTTAAGTTTATTGGTTTAATGAAAAGAGACATGTCTTTACAGTTTTAACATTAAATGTAACACAGACATACAACTTTTATTCTACCTGGGTTTATTAGTCAGTTGAGCTCCTGTCATCTCTTACAAAATTTGTCAGCCAGACAAATAACTTAGAATGATTACTGATGGTGTCTAATGTCTCATGGACTTTTTGTGGGTACTCTGAACATAATTGTTAAGAACAAAGAAATTAAATAGATGTAAATAGGATAAAAAGGTTTTAGGTGAACTTTTTTTTTTTTTTTGCTGAGGGAGATTTGCCCTGAGCTAACATCTCTTGCCAGTCTTCTTCAGTTTTTGATGTGAGCTCCCATCACAGAATGGCCACTGATAGATGAGTGGTAAAGGTCCATGCCCAGGAACTGAACCCAGGCTGCTGAAGTGGAGTGCGCCAAACTTAACCACTAGGCCACCAGGGCTGACCCTAGGTGAACTTTTTAAATAGTTCCCCCCAATCTTTTTGGTAACCTGAAACCTTAACGTTTTGCTAGATTAAGTTAAATGGTGAATTAAGTTAAATTCATTGAATATCCAGATCATTTGCAAATAAAATAAAATACTAAACATTAATTACAGAACATACGTTTATCCACTTTTTTGTTTCCTTTTACAGAGGAATTAAATAATTTTGGTGTGTTAGTAGATACATTTTCTGCTGCCACTGAGAAATTTACTATGAGAAAGTGTATGTTCCTAGAAATTATAAATGTATTTATATAAACTGGCAAAGGCAGAGAATGCTAATATACTTCACAATTGTTTAATTCTTTATTTTCACAAAAAAATAAGTTTTTTAAGGGCTAAACATTCTCATATATGTAATTAAAGCTACTAAAAGTAATAAGGGAAACATCTCTATATACAAGGAAAGTGAGATGTGTGTTTTCAGTAAGAGAATGTACAAGGAATGGAAATTCATTTTTAGTTGAAGGAAAAGAGAGTAACTTTGTCCTAAAATGAGGCTATTTTTCCCCAAATGGGAAAGAGGAAAAGTAGGACAATCTGAATGTAAAAAAGAAAGTTCTAGAAAATTTGTGGAAAAGGAATCTTTGGGGAAAAATATTATAGTGTTGTCAAACTAGGATTAAAATAAGTTTAAGTTAAATGAATTTTAATATCAAAAGTAAGCAGGTGTGAAATTCGAATTGTTTTTATTTCTGATAAAAGTACAACAGTTTCTTGGATTATTGGTCTGCTCCTGATAGGAGATTGTAAAAGGTTTTTCCTTACATTTAAAGTAATCGGCCTATAAAACTAAGGTTTTGTGTTTTATCAAAATAATTTAATGTGCTTCATTTTATCTCTCTCATCTGGTCTTTGATTATATAGGAAAACTGAGTCTTCTTAATATTCAAAGAGAAAAGTTTTGCTCACAACTGTGTAACCTTCTGTTTGCCTTTGAAATCTTTTATTGTCACTTTGGTGTAATAGATAATTAAATATTGTTTCATAATGATCTCTGATCCTTTTGAGTCTAGTGTCCAAACCTTCTGATATTTCTGACAAACTTCCCAAAATTAAATTCTAAAAGAAGTCTTTTTGACCTGGAACTGATAAACTTTGGGATTTTCTAGAAGGCCCTTGGAACATCTCAAAAGATTTGTTCTCTCTTCTTATAAAAAGAGAAATATTAAACTAATTAGGCTAATTTGATATGTTAAATGACATGGGAAACACTGGGAATAAGAAGTAATACTAAGTCTTCTTTATGTTGTATTTGTATAGGTGTGTGTAAAAAGTGTTCTGGAAATTGTGTGAAATTTCTCAAGTCTTATATGTCCTGGTATAATGTTATCAGTCATCATTCTAGTTATTATCTTAAAATGTTTTATGTTATAAAAATAACCAAATTTGCAAACCAAATGAACTCTCATCAGATCTTTAACAATGAGCATTTTTTAAGTCTTTGTACAAACAGATAATGTTTCAGTCTGATGCTTTTGTAAAAGTGTGCCTGCAAAAGGTGCTTCATCTTCAAGGAGATTCATAGAATGGACTTTTAACAGATACAAGAGTCTGATCACTTTAAGATCATAAAACTGAACTCGGTAAGAATTTCCAGAACTGACAGAAAAAATAATTCGAACAGAACGAGTGTGAATTACATGGGACTGAGTGAACTGACGAAGATGATTATAATTTTTATGACCTGTTTGAAACACTGCTGGTTCTTTAATGTTTCATTTTTCCAGATTTGAGGAAACTACCTTTTCTCTTAAGGTATCTATGACTTACTGCAATTTGGTAAAATATACCTTTGTAAACAAAGATGAAAACATCTGCTTTTTCTCCCTATCTGATCCTTCCAGAATTCAGAAACTCTTGAGTATTCTTTTCATGGAGCTATAGTCTGTTATTTACGTAAGTTCAGTAAGAACCTGTTCTCCTTGTAACAGTACACAATTGGAAACATTGGTTAAATGATCAGGCCAATTTTAGTACAAATAAATTAGTTTTACTGTGATTATCTTTGGTAAAAAGAAAGGATGATTATAGAGAGAAAAATTATGTTGCACCTTTGTAGTTATTAGATTCTAGTCTTGTGAATTGTCTTTGAGGTTTTGTTATATATCTGTAAACTGGACTGGATCCTGAATTATTCTAGTCTTCTCAGTTATCTGGCTATGACTCTCCAAAATAACGTTTGCAATTTTCTTCCACCCTTCTGATTTGTAATCACTAAGAACAAAGACTGCCCTTGAATCTTCTTGGAAGGGTTTATACCAGGTCCTCCTCACTACCCAGATGGCAGCCAAACTTCAGGGACTTGAACCTTGGTTATACATGTCACCACTGAAGAAGGCTCCACCTGACATCTGATCCTGTACAAACGCTGGAGGACCTCCACATCAAATTGACTGAGAAGAGAAGTAGCTGACATAGAGGTAGACTGCTTCCTCCCAAGATGCCAGATCAAGACTTCATACTTTAACTAAACATGAAACTCTTTCTTCTTCTCTTTCCTTTCATTACTCTGGCACTGGCCTGGAGAGACAGCACAATCATTTTTATCTCCCAGGCCATTGTTAAGGGGAGTAACCTCTGGGATTTAGAACAACTTTTTATTTCAGGCTAAACGAAAACCTAACTGACTGCTGGCGTGAACAGGCAAATGCAACAGTCCCTGTGAATGAATCCATTAGCATGCCACCTTAATGAGAGTGGTTTGTGTCCTGTCAGGATTTATCTTTGTCTCTGGTGGTCATCATTCTCCTCGGGCCTATGATTGCCTACATGGCTGGTGCATGACCAGCAATGCCTCTTAGGTTATCTAACTGTGCCCTTAACTGTTCACAAACAAACTGAGATAGCTTACTGGTCAAGTCCCCTGAATTTATATCTTTGAGTTAGAAAGGACCCACCAGGAGGTGTTCACTATGCAGGATTTGCTTCCTTTGGCAGGGCCCTACTTCCCTGGTTAGGATTAAATGTAAATGAGGCTGTGATCAGGAACCTCTGCTTAACTCTTGAAAGTATTGCAGAATCCACTGTTAAAGGAATAGCTGCCCAACAAAAATCCTTAGCCACTCTGGCCAAAGTTGCTCTTGATAATAGGGTAGCCTTTGATTATCTTGTAGCTGAGCAAGCAAGTGTCTGTGTGTGGCCAACACCACCTGCTGTACCTGGATTGACATTTCTGGGGAGGATGAAGCTCAGTTACATAAGGTCACTGAGCAAACCACTTGGCTTAAAAAAGTGACTCCTTCAGTGGAGTCTTTGGCTTATTTGAGTTTGATTGGCTTGGGTCTTGGGGACCAAGGCTCTGAGTGCACTCCAGACATTTTCATCCTGCTGATAATAATCATAGTAGTCTTCCCTGTGTGCTGTTATTCTCTCAAAAGTTTTAAATGCTTGTTCACAGCTGATAACCACTAAGCAAGTGATCTCCTTAAGACTGAAACCCCAGAAAAGGAAATGACTGATTAAAAAATTATGTGCCTTAAGTTGTGACCTGTGAGCACCACAGGGATTCAGTAAAAAACATCATCATCTGTGAATACCACACAGAATCAGTGAAAACTACAGAGCCGTGGCTAGGAGTGGCATGAGGGTCTTAATTTTTTATTATGACTCTCATTGAGACTGAGGGTTTGATCAAAAGGTAGAAATTGTTAAAAAAGTGACAACAGGCCCCAAATGGAGTCATTGTGCTAAGCCCCATGTCAGCAAACTAAGACTTAATACCTCACTTAGTTGCACTTTCAGCCTCTCCCAGGGATGTAGTCTTACCCATCAGCCTGGAATTTGCTGGTTAGCACTAGTGAGGTAATCCACCTGATAGACCCCTAGAACCCTGCCATCCCCCAGAAAGATGAGATAATCTACACTTTCCTATAAGTCTCCTGTTTTCTACAGCTCTTCAGAGCTTTCTATTCGCTAGATGGAATGCTGCCCAATTCATGAATCGTTGAACAAAGCCATCTTTAAATTTAATAGGTTGAATTTTGTTTTTCAAAGACTCTTTAGGGCAAGCAGGGCAGCTGGCAACCAGGAATGACGTCTGGGGTCATCGGTTCACACAGAGATGTCTACGTTGTGTTCTGCAAGGCAGTGCGTGCCCTGACCCTCTCTTCTGTCTTTGAATCAAATCTATTATTGGCCAACACTTTGTGGAGCTGGGCTTCCTCTGAGGTTGCAGCTGAGTCGAGTCCTTCTCGGTGAGGACAGCTTGAGAACAGCGCTATGCAGACGGCCTTAGCCACAGCCGGCCTTGTGAGTCCATCCGCACCATCCAAACCACAGAACAGTGAGCAAAGCCAGGCTCTGTCTGGTGTTGGGAGAATAGAGCGACCGACTCTGATGCAAACAGGATATTCCTGCCTGCAGGAAGCACTGTGGCCACGTCAACACGGGTCCGCGTTTGGTTTACTCCATTGGATCAGATAGAATGCCAAAATGGATTCTTCCAGAGCTTAGACAATCTGTTCTCTCTCAGGCCAAACATGGAACAGGATTTTAACAGACTGCTGTGCCTTTTCCCAAGAGTGAGGAGTGACCCAGGCCAAGGACCCATCCTCCTCAGGATCCACAACAGGAAGCTTCTCAGTCTCAAGGGAAGAATGAAGATGAGAGTTCTCAGAGGGAAGGATGGACATTTTAGGTGGAAGTCTGCATATTATTTGTGTGGCAAAATGAAAATAGATTTTTTTTAAAATTTAATTTAACTTTTTAAATACTTTTGCTGAGGAAGATTCCCTCTGAGCTAACATCTATTGCCCATCTTCCTCTATTTTGCATCTTCCTCTATGTATCACCATCACAGCATGGCTGATGAGTGGTGTAGTCTGCGCCCAGGATCCAAACCCATGAACCCGGGCCACTGAAGCAGAGCATGCCGAACTTCACTACGCCATGGGGCCGGCCCAAAATCGATTTCTTTTCTGATTGCGTAAACAATACTGCTTACTTAAAAAATATCAGACAACTCACAAAAGGGCTCAATTGCAGACAGAAGTCAAAAGGACAGCACAGTGACCTCCCTTGGTGTGTTCATCAGTTGTAAATGAGACTATGTATTATGCAAATTAATTGAGCGTGAATGGAGGTGGGCATGGTGCCCATGGTGCGGTAGGGAGCAAGTGTGACCTGGCCACATGTGCTGTGGAGTCTCAGTGGGCACAAGACCTAGCCCACAGCTATGGCATCCCCTACATCAAGATGTCGGCCAAGATGTGCCAGGTGAGCCAGCTTCCCACCCCACAGCTCACCAGGGACCCATCACACCTGCCCCAGCTGGGGAACAGTGCTCACTGCCATCTCCCCCTCCACACAGGGCAGCAGCTCTGGCTCCAGCTCCAGGACCCAGCGGCCCCATGCTCTCTAAGTCTCCATGAACAGCAAGGCAGCGAGGGAGGCCAGGGCTGGGGTGTAGGCTGACACAGGGAAAGGTGGAGGTCCCTGGAGAGAGCTACCCTGAGCCAGGCCAGAGCAATGACCCTGGAGACGTGGCCCCTCTGCCCCCAGAGTACCCTGTGGGCCCCTGTTGTCCCTTACCCCTTTGTGGGCTGTTGGGGACAGGGTAGTAACTCAGCCAGGAGCTGGATGTAGGGTGATCAAGCTCGGAGCCGGAGCTGGGGGCTGCCCTGCCCTGTAGGGGAGGGGCTGAGGAACAAGTCCTGTCTGATGGAGGTGGCCCTGGGGCCTACTACTAGCAGGGCCTGGCTCCTTGTATGTGGGGGTGCAGAGTGGGGAAGAGGCTGGATTCTGCTTGAGCCCATGGCAGGGCCCGCAGGTAGTCCCCACTGAGCTGGTCCCTCCTTCCCAGGGCGTGGAGGTCACCTACATGCTGGTACGTGAGATGGGGCAGCACCAGGTGCATGAGCTGAGCCCCTGGATGGGCGAGGGCGGCGGGGCCGCATGAGCTGCAGGTGCTGCTCTCCTGATGCTGACACCACTGTCTCCACTCTGACAGCTGTGCTGGTCCTTGTGCACAGATGCAGGGCGTGGAGGTGCGGATGTAAGGAGGAGGTGCAGACAGAGGAAGGAAGGAAGTGCCGCCTGAGCCCAGCCAGCCCCAGGTGGAGAGAGTGACCCAAGATCTCCAGGACGCTTTGCACAGTCTTGAAGTGACCCCACTGGACCCCAGCTGTCACCCTCCTCCAGCCCTGTCCTGCTTGGTGGGCACAGGTTGGATCGTAGGAAATTATTTGTTGGTCTTGACTCTGGCGCCGGGCCAAGGTTGGGAGGCTGCAGTGTGTGTGGCCTTGCAACAGGCAGGGCAGGAACTTCCGCTTCGTCAGTCCAGTGGCCCCTCTGTGGGGACAGCTGACAGAGGCTGGTCAAGTGGCCCAGATCTCACCGCCCTCAGCCTCCTGAGGCATCCAGCACTTCCTGGAGAAGCTCTGGGCGCTGCAAGAACAGGCCAGTCTTGCATTTTAACACAAAAACACTTTATTGATCTTTAATCAGCAAGAAGGAAATGGAGGTCAAGTGCGTGTGCCTTCCCCTGCGAGGGAGGCCTCTTAGGGAATGTGGAAACCAGATTGGGGGTGGGCGTCCGCCACCCTGGAGCCTCCTTCTGACTCTAGGTGGGGTCACATTTCCTGAATTTTGGGGATCCTGAAAGACAGTTGCCCATGACTGCAGAGTGAGGGACCTGGGCCCCTAGCCCCACACCCACCAGCATAGCTGTCCTCCTGCCTACGTGGAGCAGTGGCTGTCAGTGCTCTAAGGAGGGCGCCAGCCCCATCAGCTTGGCCTCAGGGTTCTGCCCCATCATGCCAGGTGGCTGCTCAGGGCGTCTGGCTGTCCCTGCCACCTTGTGTGAGGGTGGGCTGGCCCAGCTGCCCCGGCCACCCCCTTCCTGGGGTGGCCTTTTGCTCCCAGACCTGTCTTAAATCACTGACAAGGCCTTGGGGGGCATGCCCAGGCCCCAGTTGGCCACATACTGCTCCAAGAGGGCTCGCCCTGCTTTGGGCCAGAATCCGGGATTGGCCAAGGCCACACAACTGGGCCTTCCTGGGACTTCTCCCGTCCCAGGGCCTGGGATTCAGGCCAGGCCAGGTCCCTTGGGTCAGGGACTTGTGCCGTGCGAGGGGGGCACTGTCCTCTAGGGAGGCCAGCATGAAGAGCACTGCATGCTGCTGGCTGGCCAGGGCTTCAGGGCCACTGCCCTCTCTGTCACCTTCTCCTCCAGAGGATCCCAAGCATCCAGCTTTCCTGTGGACACGCAGGTCAGGGGTGGTGGGGACATGGTAGGGCTCCATCCCAGCCATGCCAGTCAGTGTCCTGAGAGGGATGTTGGCTGCAGGGGCCACAGGCCAGGTGGGGCATCCTAGGCCCCATGGCGTGTCTTCAGGGGGCTGGGTGGGACCTGTTGCTGGGGCCTCTGGGGTTGCAGGGCCGAGCCCATCATACATGCCAGGGGTGGCACAGGCAGGTGTTGAAGGGAAAGAGACCCAGCGTGCAGCGCGAAACTGGTGTCTGGGGCCACCTGCTGGCAGCCTCATGGTTCACTGGGAGGTTTGGGAAGGAACGCCACTGCCGTGGCCTCAGGCAGGCCAGATCCAGAGCCTCCAGGGCCCCCAGAGAGACAGGCAGCCATGGGCCCTACGGAGGCCCCCTCATCCTGCTGCTCCTCAGCCTTGGGGACAGCCTGGCTGGGCTCAGGTCCAGGCTGCTCATGCTGAGCAAGTGGTTCCTGGATGGCCAGCCTGTCCTCTTTGGGGAGGGTCCCAATGCTGGGAGAGGCAAGGAGAGGCCTGGGCACTGGGGACACTCACTTCTGGCCCAGGGGCATTGTGGGGAAGTCTTCCGGTTTCTCTGAAAGTGAGCAGACTGGGTTAGCATCTCTACCAGGCTGTTTGGCCCAGGCAGGGTGGGGCCCCATGGGGTCCTTGTGGCTCCACGTGTCCGCCCTGGCCTGACCCTGAGAACAACCCTCCAGGCTGCTGATCCCAGTGTCTGCAGCGTCTGCCCTGACCCCCAGCCCTGGCCTGGTTTGCCGAAGCTTCTTAGAGCAGAGGATTTGGAAGAGGAGTGGGCGGGGAGGAAGGCCCTGGAGGCTCCCCCCACTATTCACTGCCCCAAGAGGGGGAGTCGCAAGGGGACCATGCACTTGAGCCCACCTGGTGAGGGGGCAGGTCGCACTTCATCCTTTGTAGCTCAGCCAGTGATCATAGAGGTGCTTCAGCACCACGTCATCCCCCAGGGCCCAGGGCTGGGCCAGCCTGTTTTGCAGAAACTCCTGCAGGCCTTCCAGGGGCAGCGCCAGGAGCCGTTCTAGGTGCATGAGTGTGTGTCAGTCCGGGGGGCCCACTGGGAAGGCTCAGGCCCCCACCCTGCCCCCCATGGCATGTTGTGAGGGTGGCTGCTGGGTTCTGCGTGGCGCCTCAGCTGGTGGTCCCACTGGGCCCAGAAGGGCCACAAGCAGTGCCTTGGCAGGGGGAGGCCTGGGCAGCACAGAGCCCACCCCTTGCTGCTGCTTCTGTGGAGGGTGCCCTGCCCAGCTCAGGCCAGAGCAGTGGGCCACCGCCCCCTTGGGCACACTCAGGCTCACACAGGCTCATCTACTTCTGTGCACCTTGAGGACAGTGTATGCCGAGGCCGTGAGCGCGCACTCACCTTCCAGGATGTAGGCATCTCAGAGGTTCAGGGTGAGCGAGAAGGAGGTTTTGTGGGGACAGCTGGCATGGGAGGGGCAGCCTGAGCCTGGCCCACTGGGGGTCTCGGCACCGGGCAGGAACCCCCATTTGCCTCTGGGCCTGCATCAGACAAGGTCCCTCAGCTCCTCATCTGGGTGAACTCATCCCGATGGGGCTATGGCTGCTGGATGAAGGTGCTCCCCACCAGGCCACTCAGGGTCCTAAGGGCCTGGACCCCATGACCGCTAACCTGGGAGATAACAGAGACCGCCCCCACCCAGTGGGAAAACACCTGAGAGGAGGGAGTCATGGGCCACAAAGCTGGCCAAGGGTTCGTCTACACCCCGGGCTGACCCAGCTTCCTCCAGGACCCAAGGTGGAAGCAGCTCGTCTCCTGGGCCTGGAGGTGCATGGTCCTCCTCAAGGAGGGCCCTGGGCTTCGCCAGGTGGAGCCTGGCCCCGGCTGCCCCTCGGGCAGGGCCTGGCTGGGGCTGAGCTCTGCCCTCCCCGGGCTCCGGGGGCTGGGAGCATCTCGGGACAGGGTCTCCCCCGGCAGCCTCACCCAGTCAATGAAGCACTGAAGGAACCACTTGGTCACGGGAATCCCAGAGGTCATCTGCTCCTTGTCCTAATGGAAGGGCAGAGGCTGCTCAGGGCCCCCCCAGTGGGTGCAAACCTCCCTATTGCAGGGGCCTTTGCAACCACTCCCAGGGGCTGAGTGGATGCAGTTCCTGTAGCCCCACCCAGACCCTGCTCACCCTGGCCCCACCAGAACAAGGAAAATGAGTCCAAACTCTCCAGCCACAGGAGGGCTCGGCCCACCTCCCCTGGCCCCTCAGCCAAGGAGACAGCGCCTGGGGGAGGAGGTGGGGCCGCTTCTGCTCACCACGCGATGCTTTAGTTTCTGGCAGTGTTTGCTGAGAACGTGCTCGTGATGCGCCTGGAATCTCGACAGTTTCGGGAACCTAGAATGAAGCCTGAGAAGCCCTCAGGCCCCCAGCCAATCGGAGCCTGCTCACAGTGGGGTGGGGTTGGGCACTGGTAGGTGCCCTCCTGAACCCAAAGCCTCCCCCGCCTTGCAGTGACCACACTGTGTGCCCATGCCTTCCGGAGCCCTGGCTGGACACACACTTCCCAGAGAGCAGGATTGCCTTTGAGGCTCAGGGTGGCCTGGGACAGAGGACCCCCTCACGGAGGCCCAGCCCGGCTGGTCCCCTTGCGGAAGGTCAGGTAGACATCCCGGCCCCAGCGCCCTCCCACGTCCTTATCCCCACTCTCGTCACCACAGGGACCTGGAGGTCCCAGCCCTGAGGGGCAGGGAGTCCAGCCCGCGGGTGGGTGATGGGGTGTGCACGGCCATCTCCTGGGCTCTGGAGTCAGGCTGGGGACACAGGGCAGGGGGAGACGCTTTCATCTGGCCGTGGGCCCAGAGGCAGCTGGGCAGGCAGCCAGATGTGAGGCAGAAGGACCAGCAGGGATGGAAGAATCGTCTGGATGAGGACGGGGTCGAGGGCTATGGCTACAGGACCCAGAGGGCTGTTTGGGGAGGCAGTACCTTTCTCTGATTGGCACATGGACTGAGTGGGGGTCCCAGGCCTCCTCGCTGCTGGGGGAGCTCTGCAGGGAGGCTATCCTGGGCTCTAGTGCTCATCTAGCGGTCCACTGTGGCCACCTACAGTGCATGGCGTGCCTCTGGTTTGTCATCAGTTGGGCCAGTGTCCAGAAGGCATCCTCCTCACTCAGAAACATGAGCAGCATGGCCACGAGCTTGCTCATGCCCTGGCAGCAGCCTGCCTTCTATGTGAACCAGACACACCTGGAAGGACACATTCAGAGGCGCCCCCTGCACTTGCATCTCAGCTTTCAACAAGCTCCTGAACAGACTCCTGCCCAGCCCAGGCTCCCAGGGCCCCGAGGGCGGAGGTGAGGATGCGGTGGGGCCACCGAGATGCACTGGGTCGGGAGAGCTGCTGCACCACGTCAGGTGCCAGCACCACGCAGCCCCAGGCCTGAGCTCTGGCGTGTCCTGGGCCCCCTTTCTCAGACGAGGGATAGGCGCCTCAGTTTGCATGCCAGCGTGACGAGGACCAGTGAGGTCTGGAGCCTCTGCTACCAGTGCAGGCCCGGGGGCCGGACCCTACTGTAGGCAGCCCGTGGAGTCATCTCAGCTGGTGTTCCTCGAGGGAATGTTCTGGAAAGAGCAGGCGGAAAGGGGAGCAGCCACCTCAGAAACCACTTCACTGTCCTCGGCACTCTTATGGAGTTTGGGTTCATGGGAAGCTTCATCCCTGCTGAGTCTCTGATTAGTTATTTGGCATCTTCAGGATCCACACTCAAGCGTGATGACAGCAGTGATGCTGAGGCCCTGCGTGAACCTGGAACACGTTTCTACTGAGACGAGTGTCCAGCAGCCCCGATGAGCCTGGGGGGCCTGGGACAGCCCCCAGGGCGGAGCTGTTTCTGAGTCTGAAAAGGGAAGTCTGCACCCAGCCCTCTCTCAGGTTGAGGGTAGAGAGCAACCATCACTGCTTCTCTGTGACAGTGTGAGCTGGAGTCCCAACTAGTGTGTCCTGTTTGATCACGGATACTCTTAAGAGGCAAGGACCCCGCGGGACACCACACCTGGGCTGCCAGGATGCTCACGGTGCTGTACGTGGAATAGGCCAAGAGCACGTGGAACAAGGCTTGTTGCCTAGGAAGGGGGTGACAGAAGGCGAGTTTGTTTTGCTGATGTGAGTTCCATTTTGTTTGACGGCACAGATGTGATTAAGAAATCAGCGAAATAAGCAGTGAAGTTTCCAGGGCACCTCGGTGTTTAAAAATACTTTGCTCAAAGTCTACAAACAAAGAAATGCAAATATCTCAGCTGTACTGTTTGATGAGTTGTTGTTTTCTTTCCCTCTTTTTCATTTGCCTACATTGGGTTTTCACAAACATGTAGAGCCGCCACATCCACCCCTCCAGCTCTGAAAGGGGCAGCTTCTTCATCCTGAAAGTTCCCCTTTGCAGCTGTTACTGAATGTTCGGTCTATGAACTCGGCACCAATCCAAATAACGAGAACAGAGTTTTGGGTGAGAAGGAAAAAAAACAGTTTAAGTACTTTCTTTTCCAGGCAAAGGGAGTACCAGTTGTCTAACACCTTAGGAACCGCTGGCTCCCCATTAGGACGTAGGTAAGGGGTTTTTAAAAGTTTGCAAGGAATGTGGCTGCTTGTAGGGAGAGGGGAGCCTGTGACCTTGTAAGCATTTTCTCACCGGCCTGCTTTTGGCCTTGTGAGGCTGTTTGCAGGGCTGAGGGGCCGGGGTGGGGGGTAGTAAGGGAATCTGCAGGTGGATGTCCTTGGTTGCTTCCTTGGTGGATGGTGGATTCTGCTGCCAGGAAACTGAGGAGTTGGGGCCTGGGAAGCTTCAGTTTCTTGATATTCTCTGGACATCAGTTTACCTGTAATAAACTTCAAGGACCTGTGATCAGCCAAAGCTTTAGTGTGAGGCCACCTGGGCTTTAACAATTTGTAACTCCTATTTGGTTGTGAAGCTCAGGGAGTCAGAGGTTAAAGAAACATATTTACCTATGAGTAACTGAAGAAGCAGGGAAAGAGATGAGAGTTTTCAGTTTTAACCCCATGCATGCTGGGTTCACTGTAGGGGTACTGATATCAAGGCTGGTATTAATTAAAAGCCTGTAACACAGCCAGGCACTCCCCACTCCATCTGCCCCTGGAAACCAAAGATTCTTCTCCCCATGGCTTTGCCTTTTCCAGGATGTTCTGTGAATGGAATCATGTGTGGATCTGGCTTCTTTCACTTAGTGAAATGTATCCAAGATTCATCCACACTGTTCAGTGAATCCATAACTCATCCTTTTGATGACTGAATTGTATTTCATCTTATAGATTACCACAATTTATTCTTTTCTGTGGCATGTAACATCTTGGTTGCTTCCAGTTTTTAGCGATCATGAATAGTGCAGGGAATGTTGCATGCAGGTTTTACATGGGCATAAATTTTCAAATAATTGGGTAGATATCTGTGAGCACTTTTTGGTCATATGGTGAACCCATGTTTAGCTTTGTAAGAAACCGGTAAACTGCCCTCCAAGGTAACTGCACCATTTTGACTTCCCACCAGCTGTGAATGGGAGTTCCTGTTGCTCCAAATCCTTGCTGGGATTTGGTGATGTCGGTGTTCTGGATCTTGGCCTTTCTAATAGGCATGTTGTGGCAGCTCATGGTGGTTTTAACATTAAGCACTTTTTCATGTATTTTTCTGCTGTGTGTATATATACACACACACACTTAACATATATGCATATATATCTATATATTCATCGTCTTTGTTGAAGTGTCTGTTCAGATCTCATGCCCATCTTTTATTGGGTCATTTGTTTTATTATGGAGTCTGAAGAGTTTTTTATTCTTATTCTTTATGAGTCCTTTAGCAGATATATGATTTTCAAATATTTTCTCCCCCTCTGTAGCTTTCCTTTTTCTTCTCTGAACAGTGTCTTTTGCAGAGTGCAAGTTTCTCATTTAGATGAAGTCCTATTGGTCAGTTCTTCCTTTCATGGGGGTCTTCTCTCTAACTTGACCAGCCTCTTCCTTGGCATCTGTGGCTTTACCCTCTTCCAGCCATCTGGTTTTCCAGTGCCACGAAATGAGTTACCCCCACCCTGCAAAAAAGTGAGAGGTTTAACATAGAGTCACAAACTGGAACAGAGCCACACCCATTCATTTACAGATCCAATAGGCTTTTCAAGACAATGGCAGATTGTCCCCAAGTCGAAAATACTCGCCATCTGGCCCTCTACAGGAAGCCTCATGGATTATGTGCCCAGGTCTGCAAATAGGCAGGGCTTGGCAGGAATGGCTGGGGTCACATAAACCCTGGGCTCCTGTCTCTGTGAGGCCCGCTGCATGCCAGCTATGTCCATGGGTGATGGACATTTGGAGTGGTGGCTCGGGTTTCTGAGGGCTAGTGTAGGCTGACTCACCTTGGACCCAGCCTCAGAGGTTGGCAGGGACACAGCCATACTCTCTGGGCCAAGTCAGTCATGGAGCCACCCAAGTTCTGGGGGCACATGAAGCCCTCTCAGGGAAGGAGTGTCAATGTCTTGTTGTAAGAAGCATGTGTATGGGGTGGGGGTATGGAGTGGCCCCTGTTGGGAGAGACATTCCATGCCTCCCTGGCTGCGCCTAAGCACTGGCCTTAGCTCAACCCCTCTCCTCTTTCTCTCCTCTGAGATGGCCTCTCTGAGGTGTGGGCCTTTGAAGAGTGTCTCCCAATCTTCCCTCTCGGTCCACACAGAGCTATACCTCCTGTGGGCTAGCTACATGCACCCCAAATCTGTCACAGCAGAAACTGCACTCCTGTCCCTCCCATGTGGTCTGTCATCAGTCAAGGTCTTCACCCCACACCCAGATACTCAACGAGAAACCTGAGCTTCTGGTTGGTGAGCTGGTTGGGAAGATGTGAACACTGACTGGATAGTAAGGAATTATAGTAATCTTTGAGGTGTGCTTGTGGTATCCTGGTCATGGGTAAAAAAAGAACCCCTGTTTTTAAAATTCATACTGAGACTTTACAGATAAAGTGAGACCAGATGTCTGGGGTTTGCTGTGACACATTTGATGCTGGGGCAGGGTGTGGTGAACACAGGAGATCGGACTGGACAAGAGTCACTAATATGGGACCTGGTGACTCAATTTGGAGGTTCATCATATTATTCTTTATTTTTATAAATGATGGAAATTATCTAAAATCAAAAGCAAAAAAGTTGGATGGTGCACGGAGGTGACATCAGCAAAATGGCGGAGTGAGCAGACCCAGGACTCTCTCCCCTCCAAACTACAACAAGTGAATTTCAACCAGTAACTCCAATAATACAGATATCATCAGAGACCCACAGCAGCAAAATGACGGAGGGCAGAGAGGCTGGAGCCCCCCTCGGAGGAGCTGGAACAGGGTAAGAGAGAACTTCGCTCCCTCCCCTAGAGACTGGGATTGCTGCGGTGGGTGAGGGAAGGAGCAGGGGAGGGGCTGCGCGGCTGCGGGATCATCCAGGACTTCCACTCCCCATGCAGCAGAAATCCGCTAACGGGAAAGCTTTCGCATGTGGGGACCCCATCAAGCCAGGGCCCTGGGAAACCAGAGAGCAAGAGCTGATCAGAATCCAGGTCGGCGTGCAAAAGAAAGTGCCCCTCCTTCTCCAACCAGGGCTGGGTGCTGCCATCTTGGCTGAAGGCTCAGGGCTTAGAACACACGGCTCTCGACACCCCCCCCCATCTAGTGGCGACAGGCTGTAACTGCAACCTAATTCTACCACCATGTGCAAAAACTGCTCCTCTACCGTTCAGCAATTTATAAAAGCTCCAGACCAGAAGGAAAACAATAAAAATAAAGAATTAAGTCCCGATAACTTGGAAATAGGTAAACTAAGTGAAAATGAGTTCAGAATAGCTATCATCAAAAGACTCAATAAGGTAAAAGGAAATATAGAGAAACAAGTCAACAAGTTCTGGAATTACTTCACAAAAGAGATTAAAACCATAAAGAAGAATCAATCAGAAACACTAGAGATGAAAAATACAATGGATCAGATAAAACAGAATACGGATTCCCTGAATGCCCGTGTAGACAACATAGAGGAGAAAATTAGCATAATCGAAGATAGACAGGCTGAATGGCTCCAGACAGAGGAAGAAAGAGAACTAAGAATTAAAAAGAATGAAGAAAATCTCAGAGAAATAGCAGATTCAATGAGGAAATCCAATTTAAGAGTTATCAGAACCCCTGAGGGCATGGAAAAGAAAAATGGAGCAGAAAGTGTGCTTAATGAAATTATAGGAGAGAACTTCCCCAATCTAGGGATTGAGGGAGAAATGTGTGTGCAGGAAGCTTTCAGATCTCCTAGATTTGTCAATGTAAAAAGACCTACTGCAAGGCATATAGTAGTAAAAATGGCAAAAAGGAACCCCCATCAGACTTTCAGCAGATTTCTCTACAGAAACCTTACAAGCTAGGAGAGAATGGAGTGACATATTCAAAACTTTAAAAGATAAAAATCTTCAGCTAAGAATACTCTATCCAGCAAAAATATCCTTCAGATATGAGGGAGAAATTAAATCTTTTTCAGACAAAAATTAAGGGAATTTGTAACCAAAAGTCCTCCACTACAAGAAATCCTCAAGAAGGCTGTCATACCTGAAAAAACAGAAAAAGGGAGAAAGGGGTCACAAACCACAGAGTAGGGAGACAAATACATAGAACCAGAATAGGATAGCAAATATTCAACTATAGCATTAGGATAAAGGGAAGGAAACCACCAAAACAAAGACAATCTTATCACTCTAACCACAAACTCATAACACGAATTGGAATAAGAGATGAAAATAATAATTTAGGAGGGGAAGAGGAGAGGGACTAAATCAGTCTAGGCCAAGTAAATAAGAGACCACCAGAAAATGGACTATATTATACACGAGATTCTAAATATAAAGTTCAGGGTAGCCACTAAACTGAAAAACAGAACAGAGACACAAAACGTAAATAAGGAAAAAATCTAAGAAACCCAGCATAAGAAATTGCAGAAGTCAATGGGTAGGCTAAAACACACAGGACAAGAAACAAAGGTAATGCAGGAAAACCAGATAACGAGTGACAGAATGACAGCATTAAGCCCTCATGCATCAATAATCACCCTCAATGTAAACAGATTGAACTCTCCAATAAAAAGACAGAGTGGCAAAATGGATTAAAGAACAAGATCCAACAATCTGTTGCCTCCAGGAAACACACCTCAGCCCCAAGGACAAGCATAGGCTCAGAGTGAAGGGGTGGAAGACAATACTTTAAGCTAATAGCAGACAAAAGAA